GTCGACTGCAGGCTGACACAAACAGACTTGTTAGAACTTGTTTATCAAGGCGCAGTCTGTACTTTTTGACGACACTGACGTCGCGTGTCACGGTGGAGGGGTGCGGTGGGAAGTGAGTATAAGTGACTGAGAGAATATGTGTTTAATCATCGTTAATCGATTCAGAAGGCTTTTTAAAACTTTTTTTTTGTAAAATAAATAATATTTGCGTGTGGAACTAAAGAGCCGCAGCTTCACATCCAAAGAACCGCATGCGGCTCGCGAGCCGCAGGTTGCCGACCCTTGTGTTAGGGTATTTAGGTAAATTATAACGATGGATACTGTCTTATTCCTTTCGTGTCTGGCTGTATGTATAGTTTGATGGTAAGTCTAAACAAAAAATGCATAAATATCCGAACCCTTAATATTGCACTGTATATTGCTACGTTATTTCGTTGTTATTATGTTTCCTTTGTTTACGTTCTTCTTTGCCTATATTTTTGATCCGCTGTCTCCACAATCATATCTTTACTTTTTTTGCAAGACGGGACTGGCGCTTTTTTCCGCATGTACCGCAAAAACCTCATTTTTATTATTATCGGAATGATTTGGCAATTAAAGTTATACAATAAAACTGTTTTAATAATTCATATTTATGAAACATAATTAAAAGATTTAGAATAATAGAATAGAATATCAGGTAGGGGAAGGACGGGAAAACCCCCTCTGTGGCTCAGTGGTAAGAGCACCTGCCTTTAAATCTAAAGGTCGTGAGTTCGAATCCCACCTGGGTGGAAATTTTCGTTTATTAAAAAAATTAATTAATGAAAATAATTTCTATCCTTGTGTGATCGGTACACACCGGAGGGACCGCAGACGTTCGGATACAATTAGCGTCTCTTAGCAAAGACAATGACGTCGACTTTGCTAAGTATCAAGACAATTACTCTACACACACACACACACACACACACACACACTACACCTCAAATTGTAAGATTGGCGAATGGATTTAGTGTCCGCAGTCATTTAAACACAAACAAACAACAACAACAAGGACGGGGAAGATGACGCAGCGTCTAAGATGACGCACCTCTGTATTTTATCAAGTACTTCACTAAATTCAGTTTTTATACCCGTGGCGCCCCCCTTTAGAAACTACTATTACTTTAAAACTTCATCGGTCAGCTTTCGTACTGTTTAGTATCTGTGAGGCAGAGTAACGCAATACACGTTGATTTCTTGTTATTTTTGACACTGCGAATATTAATGGTAAGTTGTTTAAAAATGGTTCCATTGGATTTTCTTCATATTCATGGAAGTAGGTGATATTTATTTTCAGTTAACGAGGATTTATCTGGTAAATATTTGATGATGGATAATTTTGATAACCATTTTTTGTAGGTTATGCTGAACAGGCTAAGTTGACGCAGACTGCGTCATCTTTGCTGTTATAGTGCGTCATCTTTGCCTTTTCAGTTCATTACCTTAAATAACAATGGCGTATAGAATATTTATTATTTAGTGTCTATTTTGCATTTTGACGCATCTTTTTCTTTTTTAGAAATGGGAAAAAATATACGAAAAACACAGAGAGGATCATTTTCTGCAGCAGCTCATGCAGCATTGAATGCAATTTGTAGAGATGGTCGTAAAATTCGGGAAGTGGCAAGGGCATTTTCAATACCAGAAGCTACATTGAGAAGAAAACTTAAGGTTAAAAATTTATTAAAGGAAGTCAAATCAGAGTCTCTTGGTAGAGCCCCATTGTTTTCGGCACATCATGAAAAGGAGATACTAGATCATGTTCTTAAGCTGGCCAATTTATTTTTTGGTATCATTTGCATGGAGCTGAGAACCATGGCATTTGCTTATGCAGAACGCAATGAAATTAAACACAATTTTATTAAGAATAAACAAATGGCTGGAAAAGACTGGTATCTAGGATTTATAAAACGAAATCCTCAAATTTCCTTGAGAAAGCCAGAAGCTACAAGCATTAATAGAATAACAGCCTTCAATAAAATAGAAGTAGACCGCTTTTTTAAAAATTTGGAAACAGTGCAAGAAAAATATAAATTTCTGCCAGATTTATTTGTGCGCATTTACAATGTTGATGAAACCGGTATATCTACGGTTCCTAAAGAATCATGTAAAAGACTTGGACCGAAAAGAGTAAAGCAGTTTGGAATCATTTCTTCGTGGGAACGAGGGAAGAATATCACGGTAATAATGGCGTTCAGTGCCTCCGGTAACTACATACCTCCATTATTTATATTTCCCAGGAAGAGGATGAGCCCACAGCTTCAGAAAAATGGACCAAGCGGTGCGATTTACAACTTCACGGATAATGGATGGAGTAATACGTCTATGTTTTTATTATGGCTGAAGCATTTCTAAAAAAAAGTCCTGTCTAGTCCAGATAATCCAGTGCTGTTAGTATTAGATAATCACTCGAGCCATATTTCACTGGATATTTATAATTACTGCAAAGAGAATGGGATTATAATGGTTAGTATTCCACCCCACACATCCCACAAATTACAACCTCTTGATGTGTCATTTTTTTCTGCATTAAAATATGCGTATGGTCGCCATTGCAATTCCTTTCTAAAATCTAAGATCAGCAACTCAGAGTTTGAAGATAAAATTACTCCATATGATGTCGCCGAGATTTTTAAGTTAGCATATGATCAGGTGGCAAATATTGATAAGGCCGTTTCTGGTTTCGGAACGTGCGGAATTTTTCCGTTAAACTCTGATAAGTTCACAGAAGATGACTTTTTTCCTGCTGATAATTTAAACAATGATATCTTGGATAAAGATGTTTCTCCTGAACCTGCACCTCAGGGAACACCTCCACTAATAACAACACCATCTATAAGAGAACAAGAATTACCACGTCCATCAACCAGCCGACAGTCTCCTGAAAGTCGTCACACAACCCCCACAAAACAAAATGAAAAAACCAAACGTCCACATATTTCTCTTTCACTTATTTCTCCAGTTCCTTTGCCCAATAAAAAAATTAAAAGAAAATATGGACGACAAAAGCAACATTCTGAAATTCTAACAAGCACCCCTTTAAAAGAATTTTTAAAAGAAAAAGAGAATAAAAAAAAGAAAAACTGGCGAAGTCGGAATAAGGAAAGAAAAAAGTAACCAGACAAGTATTGGTTAATGATGCAGGATTAAAACTAAATAAAAATAAAGGGAAAGCCAAAGTACAAAAAATAATCAAACAAAAAATAAACAAAAAAATCTTGGAGGATAGCGATACTGAAGAAAGCGATTTTGATGAAGAAGGTCTTTGCAATGACGATGAGTTAGTTGGATGACATAATCAACGAGGGAGGTAAAACTGATATCTGCATATTATGTGGAGACTTCGGCAAAAAGACGGAAAAATGGTTCAGATGCACAAGTTGTGGACAATGGGTGCATAAAGAATGCAGTGGAGCCAAAAGTCCCGAAAACTACATTTATGACTTTTGTTAATATGTTAAAAAAGCTTTGTTTACATTTTCTTACTTTCAGTATTAAAAAATAAATTTTCTTTTCATATCACTTGCGCTTTTAATATAGATACCTACATGCGCCATCTTCACCATCACTGTGCGTCATCTTTCCCTCGGTGGAAGGTAAGATGGCGCAAAAGCGCTTTTTAAAAAAGCCGCATAAAAAATACTTCCATTTATTGAATTTAAAAATAATCCTAGAAATTGGTTATTGAAATGTCCAAATTACAGGCTCGTAGCATTCAAAGTTAGCTTAAATATTTTTTACCCTTAAATAAAATGTATTTTGCTTAGGTGCGTCATCTTCGACGTCCTTCCCCTACTTTTATTTTTAACAATACCGACAATAGTTTGACTCTAATTAAAAACTACTGTTTAAATAATCCACACAATCCGCAATTTATACATACATTAAAAAAAGGTTATGATAAACGGTCGGAATTGTGTTTTAATACAGGTGTCATTTCTTTTATTTTATAAATTCTAATTAGCGATTGGTCTTTTGCTGATAAAAATTCATTGGTTTGTAATTGTATCCTAGATTAAATATGGATGTATAGACAAATTGTAAATTAATTGGATATTAAAAAAAAAATAAAAATTATAAACATGTTATCCATAATACAATTTAATAATAATATTATTCTAAAATTACGCATATAATTCCAATTACATGTAAAAGAAGAAAGCTCACAGCGATTTTCAGTCCAAAGAAGTTATTATTAGTAAAAAAATATTAAATTAGAAGGTGGAGCATCTTTCACATCCCCTTAGGTTACTTCTCAGGTCAATAGAGAGTATCGTAAATAATAACAATTCTAAAACGGGAACACCTAAAAAAAACTACGTCTTACAGACCAATCAACCTCTTGCAAATTACGTCTAAAGTGTTTGAAAAACTATTAGTTTTTGCAAACAATCGCAATAGGTTTGCAATACCATCCCGCGATTATACATTCTAGCATATTCTAGCTTCTGTTAACATCATATAAAATAAACAATTGCTATTGCTATTGCCTCGAATTGTTCCATTGCTAATATTTTTTTTATTTTAAGACTTAAAGGAAAAACTTGAAGGATTAAATAATAACAATTCTAAAACGGGAACACCTAAAAAAAACTACGTCTTACAGACCAATCAACCTTTTGCAAATCACGTCTAAAGTGTTTGAAAAACTATTAGTTTTTGCAAACAATCGCAATAGGTTTGTTTGCAATACCATCCCGCGATTATACATTCTAGCTTCTGTTAACATAATATAAAATAAACAAATCGGCATCTATATTAAAGAAAAAGTATTTCTGTAAATAACAAGCAACTAAAAACCTTCAAACATGTTAAACAATACAGTTTGCATTGAAAATCCTGATATTTTATTTTCTTAATTCGAAAGTCATTTAAAACGCGTTCGTTAAAAAATATCGGTGGGGTTGGAAGATAAAGTATCAAGCAGAACGACGACTACTAAGTGTGAGTTGTTCAGTGCATTTTGGACGTGAAAGATGAATACAGAGGAAAGAAAGGCGTTAATGCTATCGCATTTCGGAAAAACCAGTAAGGAGATGGACGAAGATGTTAAGTTGATTAAAGAGTGGTTGAAGACTCAACCTCACCTGCCGGAAATTCCGAGTAAGTATTCAAAAGTATGTTATTCGAATTGGTGACGATTTTTCTACTAATATATTTTTTGTTTTTTATTGCAAATATTTTAAAAAATTATTAAATTATTTGCTTAATTTTCTTTTTCACTATTTCTGAAAAAAAAAACTATACACGCAGTGAAATCTTTAATATTAACGTTAACCCTTTTAGACATGATTTTTTTTATAGGAAAAAATTTTATTTTCACAATTTGTAGTATGTAAAAGTCCTATATTATAGTCATATATGTATACTGTTTTTAAATTTTCATTTAGTTTAAAAAATATATCTGTGTATTATTATGCACATTTGGATCCTAGTATAAATAAATTTTGTCGATAGAGAACAAAAACTGGCAAGATTTACTGAAACTTTTAATAAAGAAATTAAATTAAACCACAGAAACTAGTTAGTAATAAAAAATGTAAAAACTAAAATATATTTCAAAACGCAATAAAGAGTTAAATAGCAAAAATTTATTGTCTGTAAAAACAAAACAAGACAAAGAACAGCAATTTCATCTTTTTTTATATAATGGTGCACATTGCATTTATCTCAAGAAAAGTCTTTTTGTTACAGTTGGCATGCTTACATCTTTTTCCTTCTTTGTTTCCATTCAGTTGGGGTATATTGTCATACAGAGTCATATTGCATATCACAAACTGCTCTAGTTTCTTAAAGATTATATTTTAATTTTTTTCGTGCTATGGGTGGTGTTGAAGTACTTGGCCTGACTCTTTTGATGCAAGAAATTAATTTGTTTGCGTTGTTCAGACTTTCAGCAAGCCTCATTTTGAAATCTACAAGGGTTAATAAGTCCTTTTTTGGAATATTTAGTGTGTTACATTCTTTTTGATAATCAAACCAGCTATTTACAGCAGCCAAGTCTACGACATAAAAAATCATTCGATGGGTCCATTTTTTTACCACATTTAGTATCAGTACCCACTGATCATTTAATCTAATAGATCAACGCCACCCATCGAATGGTTATAAAGCTTTACCCCCTCAGGTCTTTCTACATCTATGTACTTTTTTCTTTCTTGTCCACCGCTTAACTATATCAGTAAAACCAATCCCAACGAAGTTAGAAGCCAGGTGCACAATCTGATTATCCATCCATTTTACTAAAACTACATCACCATCTTTACGTGTTACTTGATCTGTAGTTCCTCTGCCATTTTTCGACATTTCATTATCGGTTTCCTCGAAAGGATTGTTAAAGCTATTGCCTCGAATTGTTCCATTGCTAATATTTTTTTTATTTTAAGACTTGAAGGAAAAATAATATAATTATCGTAATATAACTTGTGTCCCTTATTATTCTTTTTGTAAGATGAAGAATTATTGTAGCACCAAATTCAAACCGTTTTAGCAGCTGAGCATCTAAGTCATTCAAAGCGCCTTGATATAAAACAAAATCATAATCGATGCCAGACTTTTCTCATAGACAAACATTTTGATCCTCCAGGATGTAGGTTTACCCTTTGAGTATTAAATTACAGGCATGGTACCATTTTTTCATCAATACATAGGTTTCCTTCTAACTTTAACTCTAAACATCGTTTCCTGATACCGGCATAAAAAAAGACGTACTCTATAGATGTTATTGATACAGTTATTGGAGATTGTCAAAGTATTTACACAATGTAAATTTGGCCGACGTTGAAAAAATCGGTCTCTTGCCATTGTTTCACTAAATATATTGATACGAAAATTTTTGTGCCAATAATAAATATTATGTGGTAAAAGGAGCCATCTTCTCAAACTCCTGTTCATCTATATATTTAGATAAAAAAATATAAAAGATCATGAGACTCTTCACCTGGGAGCGTTGTAGGGGTAGGTTGTTGTTCCTCATTCCAAACTAAATCTGGAGGTTAAAAATCTTTCTTACGCCATTTTACAGATTTTTTAGTTGTTACAAAGCTAAAATTGATGTGATGGTCCATCAAATGGTAAATCGTTCTCATCAGGCTCTCGTCATTCTAGTGTGACTCAGGGATTTGAATCTTTGTGGGCCCTGTGTGATCAGTCCCAACACGAACATCTTTTTTGTTGCCTGACGAGGGCTCTGAAATGTCAGCTTTATCTTTATCCTCATTCCAGTATGACTCTAACTTATCGAGGGTAAGTCTCAGTTTATCGACACCTACACGAACTTTTATTTTACTTGAGAAAATTTCTCTAATATTTTCCTCTCAATTCTCGTCACTAAGTTCCTAGTTCAGAGTGCCTATACTGCTTCGTCATGGAAGCCGTATAGGCACTATGATTTAATACCATGAGTTTGTTTTCAATCCGACGTCGGCCGACGTCGCCCGATATCGGATCGGGAGAAATACGGTTCCAATGTAGGTGTACACTAAAAAGGGATATTTTTGTTAAGCTTGTCTATAGGTTTCTTTTATACGTATAAAAAACTTTTTCTACTCATATTGGTGTGCAAACCCCTGCAAAAATACAATCCTTTTCCTTGACACTATTTTTATTATTTTAGACGATCACATCATCGCTTCTTTTATATGGGCTAATAGATTTAGTTTGGAAAAAACAAAGCAGAGAATAGATTTGTACTACACAATTAGATCAAGTATGCCGAATATATACCAATTTGCAAATCCAAAAACTGAATTTATGAAAAGATCGAAAGAATCAAGGTAAGATGCATGTTATTTTGTTGTTTACTTATAGCTCAAAAATAATATTTATCCCAAGACTCTTACAACATCCCATACAAAGAATAGTGTACATTCTGGAAAACCAAGAGTTAACGCTGGGTGCATTTCTCGATGTAGAGGGAGCGTTCGACAACGCCTCCTACGAAATAATCACAATAACCATTAATTCTGCAACTACAAACGTTATGTCATGGGCTATACGGATGAACTGATTATCTTGTATAAGGGCAAATTGAGACAAAAATAGAATGCAACAAGTTCTGACTGTATTTGCTGGGCTTCAAATGAAGGACTTAACTCAAATGAACATTAGCTCGAGATGTACAAAACCATAACATTTAACAGAAAGATAAATATAGAGAGATCGGTTTCTTTAAGTCTAAATGGTTCAAATACAAATCTGGTTAGTGAACTCAACTACCAAAGGATTATATTAGACTTAACAGGCTTAAAAAGAGCGAGGTATGTGGGTTCCAGGAACTAGGGAATATATATTAGAGAAAGAGCTAATGATACTAACAGAAGAAAATCAGCTACAGAATATACTGGTATAGATCCAGCCTGTGGATAATAATAATGTGCAACATTATTTTTCCAAACATTTAAGGGTTAAAAGTGAGGACATATTTTATATATTTTCTTTTAGTTTTTTTTTATTGTATAATGGCTTTGGCATAGCCAATTAGCCAGACTATTTGTGGTAGTTACAATTTTTGATTTATTACCTAAGCCTATTTATAATATAATTTTACAGGATGTAATATGTTAGTATATACATTCAAATTTTGATATATTATAATTTTTAATTTGAATACCTAAAACTACTTATAATTTAAATTTACAGGACGTATTATTTGAAAAAATAATTGTATTCAAATTGGCAGGCAGTGGACAATTTAGCTTTAGCAATTTAGTTTTTCATACATCATTTTGATACTTTATTTGTACTGTCCACACTCCAATATAAGGTGCTGCAGATCTCCCACATTCCCACAGGAGCAATATGGGTTATGCAGGACACAGCTATGCTGTGTTTGTATGCAGGAGTGAGTGCGTGGTTTGATCTTATTCTGTTTATTGTTTTTATAAATAACCTGTTTGTCTCATATTTGAACCATCTTTTATTGGGTATTAGTGGTTGGCAAGCTCTAAAGTTGATTCCAGTGGTACTTTGGTTGTATAAACGTTGCCATCTTTGTTTGCAGTTGTTTCTACTGATATTATCTATGTCTGCTACTGGAAGAAGTATGTTGTTTATATTATGTTTGGTTAAAGCTGCAGATTTAGCTAATTTGTCGACTTCTTCATTTCCTAATATTCCAGTGTCCTTTTACCCAACAAATAATAATCGAACTACCTGCGGAAATAATATCATAATGTAACTTCCTGATTTCTATCTCAATATGATTTTAGTATTTTGTGGTTTTCATAGAAGTGAGTTTGTCCATAATACTTCTACAATCAGTCAGAATGATATAATTATTCATTCCAATCGAGGCTATATATTTTAACGCAAAAAATAAAGCTGATAGTTCGGCAGTACATATTGAAGCTTCATTGGGCAATCGACATGATTCTTTGTAATCCGCATTCCAGTGATATATTGCACAACCCACTTTATTTTGAATTTTAGAGCCGTCAGTAAAAATATATTGAGATGCAGGCACTTATCTTTAATTATTTTGTTGATCATACTTCCTGGAAGATTTGAATCCATATAATATGTTTCTATTATCTTAGAGAAGAGAGTCTTAGGAGGTTGTGTATAAATTGGTGGTATTTTACTTTGATACATTTGTTCTTCAAATATTGTTAATTTCCTATAACTTTCAACGTATATGGGAGTTTTTTTGTTACGCCAATATTTATGGCTTAAGTCTGATATATTCAAGTTACAAATATTTTTTAAATAGCTGAAGTTTTTTGATATAGCTCTAGCTACAAACTTATCTGTAAAGAACTGTCTGCGTAGTGTAAGGGGAGGCTCTTTAGCTTCAATTTCAATAATACTAATAGGAGTAGATTTTAAGTACCCGAGACATAGCCTTAAACATTTATTCTTTTGGGTTTCAATTTTATTAAGATGTCCTGTTGACGCAGACCCATATAAATGACAACTATAGTCGAAAATTGGTCAAATCATTGAGCGATAAAATAGCAATGCAATATTTGGGTCAGCTCTCCAACTGGTTTTACAAAATTCTCTAAGGATATTCATGGAGTTTTCCGATTTTTTTATAATAGAATGAATTTGATCCTTCCATAACAGTTTACGATCCAAATATGTGCCTAGATATTTTACACAATTTTTGATTGGAAATTCTATTTTTCCTAGTTTAAAGTTACCTTAAGGAGTTTGGCGTTTTTTGAAAAAAAAAACAAATTTCAGTCTTTGTAGTTGATATTGATAAGCCTAGAGAATGGTAATAATTTTTTACATAATCTAGTGTAGATTCGAGTTGACGCCTACAAATCTCAAGGGTAGTATGTGAGGTATACAACACAACATCATCTGCAAACTGCAATATATTAGAGTGTGGAGGTACTATCTGATCTAGATCTATATTATACAATGAAAAAAGAAGTGGACTTAAAATACTACCCTGTGGTATACCTATATTCGTTAGCCTTGGCGCTAAAAAAGTCTCATTTATTTTTAAGTAAGTTCATCTATTCTTGTACAAGGATATAATGAAATCTGAAATTTTAACTGGCATACCAAGATATGACAATTTTTTATGTAGAATATATAAATTTATGTTATCAAATGCAGAGGTTACATCTATAAATGCTGCAGCTGTTGATTCTTGATTTGTGAAATTGACCTGAACAGAGGAAACTAGTGAAGTGAGAGCATCCTGTGTAGACCTAGATTTCCGGAAGCCTGGATTGAGATTTGGGTAGGATATCTTCAGATTCAAGCCAGTATTCAAGCCGATTTTTGATTAATCTCTCTAGAGTTTTTAGTATACAAGAACTTAAAGATATAGGTCTGTAAGACTCAACGTTGTTATCTGGCTTTACTGGCTTCTTTATGGGCGATACAATATAGTCCTTCCATGTTCTGGGAATTAAATTCTCATTTTGCCATATATTGTTAAAACTTTGTAATAATAGTGATTTGTATTCTGTGGGTAAAAAGTATAACATAGAGTATGATATACAGTCCATCCCTGGAGACGAACTATTATTTTGTTTGAGTCCATAATTTAATTCCCACATTTCATATGGTTTTTCTAGATTGGAGTATTCTCTGGAAACGGTGAATGTAGCTTCGTTTATTTGGTTTGGTACCAAAGGAGGTGAAATTTTTAAGTGGAAATCTTCTATCCATGCAGCTTCGCAGTTTAACGGGAGTTTATTGAACTGTTTTCGGTTTTTGTAGCGATGGACTTTCTTCCAGACGTCGCTGATTGGACTGTGGGAGTTAAGGCTTTCGCAGTAGTTTATCCAACTTTGTTTTTTTCTATTTTTAAAAATTTTCTTTGCTAATGCATCCAATTTTTAACATTCAATTAAATTATGGATATTGGGATTTGTTTTGTAACGTATATAGGCTGTTTTACGGTTATTTACAGATGTTTCGCAATTATTATCCCACCATGGTTTTGGAATCTTTTCTGTAGGATATATTTTATTTTTTGATATTTTTGGAATAGCAATAGATGCGCATCTGTTTATTTTATTAACTAATTCTTCATAAGTTTGAGGAAGTATTTCTGAAGAAAAGTTGGATGAATATAAATTCCAATTTGCTTTATTTAGATTCCATCTTTTTTGTGTATTGTTACTAGGTGGTGTTGTTCGTTTGGAATTTTCTAAGGAGATCGTCAAGGGAAGATGGTCAGAACCATGTGGATCTTGAATAACAGACCAAGTTAATTTAGATATAATGTCCTGGGTGCAAATTGTTATGCCGATTGCTGATGGACTGGAACTCAGTGCAAGTAATGGAGAACCATCATTTAAGTATAATAAATTACATTGGTCTATCGCCTCTAATAAAACTTTACCATGAGTATCATTAGTTTCGCATCCCCATGCCATATTGTGAGCGTTGAAGTCCCCTCCAATGATAAATGGCGGAGGAATATGTTGAAAAAAATGGATCCATTTTTCAACTGTTACTCTAATACGTGGTTCTTTGTATATGGATATTATGTGTATAGGTTTGTTGATACAAGAAAGTTTAACAGCCATGCATGTGTAAGTAAAATTATACTTATCTAATAATTTTATTTCTTCTGTAGATATTTTATCTTTAATTAAAATTGCTCTACCTCCATAGCCATCTGTGCGATCAGATCTAAAGCAATTATAACCAGCGAAGTTATAGAATTTTCCTGGTTTAAACCATGTTTCTGATAACATGGTCACATACACATTTTTTTGAGTAAGTAAGGCTTCTAAACTTGGTTTATTAGAAACTGCTGACCGGCAGTTCCATTGTAAAAAATTTATAGAGCTAGTTATGTCTGAGAAGATGGCGTTTGTCCATGTAAGTCTTCTTGCAAGATCGATGCCGTACTTAAGTATTTATTAATTTGTTGTATAATCTCTGTTTTTGATGCATCTAAATTTTCAGTGAGTTTTAGTGAACTAATTATATTAAGAACCAATTCTAAAATTACATTATTTAAATCTTATGATACTCCTTGTGTCTGCAAGTTTGTTGTATTTCTATTCTCTGTATATTTAGGGGTATTATAAATACCACCTTTTTGTCTAGTGATATTTATTGGGGAGATTATTTCTTTTCTAGCTGACCCCAAAGGATCGGAAGTACTTGGACGTTGTCGTTTTAAATTTGATTTTTCTGGACTACTGCTGGAATAAAACATTTGTGAAGAAAACTTTTTTGCGAACGAACCAGTTTGATTTGGAGTTACTTGATAGGACTGATCATTGGTATTAGAGTTGGTTGTCAAGGAAAAACTATTATGTCTGGCGGCGATATTGACACATGATTTTTTCGGTAT